GGGGGGGGGGGGGGGGCTGGGCAGCTGGATACCTATCTTCCTGGTGTGGTTGGTGAGGTCGAAGTTGACGCCACGCAGCTGGGTGACGGCATCCTCAAACCACTCTATCATCATCCTGCACACACACACGTGCCACCACACATCAACACACACAGACAGATGGATGGTCCTTTCCCTCATCCCCCACACCCATCTCTAGCCCTTCTCTTGTGTGTGTGTGTGTGTGTGTGTGTGTCGTGTGGCTTACAGTGCGTAGACGCGCTGCAGGAACAGTTTCTTGCGCAGGATCATGGCCGGGTCGCCCCTCTCACCCTCAGCCTCGTTACCCTCCTCGCCGTCTCCCACATCAGCTCCACCCTCGCCACCCTCGGTGCCCTCGCCCCCAGCCGCTGCAGCTACTGTACCGCCACCACTGCTATCGCCGCCCTCACCTTCGCCCTCACCATGCCCCTGTCCCTCCTCCACCTGCTGTTGCTGCTGGTCGCCGTCCTCTATGATCTCCTTGTTGCCGCCCTCCTGGCCCTCCTGGTCCTTCTCCTGGTCCTTCTGGGCCTCGGTGGCGGTCCCGGTCGCACCCGGTGCACCGGTGGTGCTGAGGATGGACTGCGACTGAGCCACGAACTCTGCAAAGGAAGAGAACAACAGGGGGAGGAGAGATCAGGGTGGTGCGGTGTGGTGTGTTGTGGTGTGTTGTGTTGTGTTGTGTTGTTGTGGGGATGGGGTGCTTACTGTCCATCTCCTCCTTGAGTGTGTGGATGTTGTCGAACACGCTGAGCACGGGGTTGTTGCCGTTGCTGTCCTCCGGCGGCGCGAAGAAGTTCAGGAACTCCTCGAAATCCACACCGTCGCCCGACGCACCAGCACCAGCAGCAGTGGCAGCGGCAGCAGCGCCCTCCGGCTGCTCCGCGTCCTTGATGTGCATGAGCTGGTAGAACTTCTCCAGTTTGTCGGAGGTGAAACCCGCCACTGCACCGCATTCACACACACAAGTGGATGAAGGATTCGTGCGGTGTGCTTTGGTGCGGTTATGGAGGCGTATGGCGTGTCGGTAGCATCCCCCGTACCCTTTTTGTTGAAGAAGTCCTTGAACTGCTGCGATGTGAGGCATCGGGCACCTGTGGTATCGGCTGCACACCCATACACACCCGAAAACATGGAAGATCTGTCCATAGAAACCCTCCCTGTGCCTTTCTGTGGCCACCCTACCGTCTAGGAAGACGTCCTTGAGCGCCAGGTTGAACTTGTCCTCCCCGTTGGCGTACATATCGAACACCTGCGCGGCACCGGACCCGGAAGCCGGCGCAGCGTCCTCCTCGCCCAGCTGGACTACTCGCGCACCGCCCTCTACCTCCTGCTGCTGGTACTCGCCCGCGCGCGAGTAGAGGAATGGTTCCTTTGCGGCCATCGCTGGTGCGTCCTGGTCGGCGTTGGCGGGCTGGATGCGGTCGGTGTCCTCGTTGGTGCTCTCCTGCTGCCCAGGAGGATTCTCAGGCACATCCATCTCTCCCAAAACACGTCAATGCGGCAATGAAAAGGAGGGTGGCCAAGAATGCGAGCTTTCGACTCGTAAATGCATCGGACCAGGCGCTGGCGTAGAGTAGCCTTTGCGGTGGGATGGGTGCGGTGAAGAGCAAGAGCACCGACGAGGCACCGCCCGCCATCAACGGCCAGGTGCTCGACGTCGTCTATCGCGACGAGCGCTGGATCTCGGCAACCTCAGGAGGACGGCCCGGTTCTTCAGCAAGGTCGACTTCCCTGCCGAGGTCCTCCGCAATCGCCTCAACCGCTCCCTGCATCGCATTCGCCTCGCTGACGGGACGCGCCTGGATGCCGTGCTGACGTTTGACACTCAGTCGGTGGTCGGGGCGCAGCTGCTGCTGGCGCCCATCTGGATGGTGGAAGAGCAGAGGTGGGACGAGGCGGCTGAGGCGCTGCAGCTGGCCAGCCAGTTTGGCTTGTGCACGCTGCCTCTCAACCTGACGGCAGATGACATCAACACACACGCCAGCAAGACGGTAAGGCACACACACAGAGGGGGGAGAGAACAGAGAGGCCTCACCCATTCCTCTGCGTGTGTCTGGTGTGGGTAGGCGTATAGATCGGTAGCTCGTGTGTTGGCGCAGCTCATGGTGGTCGGCCGCCACGTGGCCTTCGGTGACGGCAGCTGCCTGCAGATCGTCCGCCATGCCAATGGCGAGGTGCGGACCATCAAAGACCAGCCCGGCTTCCGGCTGACCGTCGACCCGCCCCTCCCTGCCCACCATCATCTGTATCAGCAGCATCGCCTACAGCATGACCCCCCGGTGCGCAGCCGCGGCGCCTTCTGGGACAACAACGGCGGATGGCGGTCGGGCGGTGGCCCGCTCGATATCACCGATGCGTCGATGTCGTCGTTGGCCAAGAGGATGGTCCTCAGCCACTTCAACGCGACTCGCAGGGGGCAAAATGGCACATCGATACGACTCAACAGGTATCACACCAATGGCAGCAGTGGGGGAGAGGGGTGCGTGTGTAATATTGTGTGTGTGTGTGCGTGGTTGGTTGGTTGGTTCAGGCGTGTTGGTGGGGGCCGTCTGGATGGCCTCCTGACGCAGTCGCCCCACACACCAGTGGCCGGATGCACCACCACGTTCGGCCAGAAAGGTAGTGTGCGGATTCTGGTGCTCACCGATAGCAGCCACACCTTCGTCGCGTGGATTACCATTGTGGATATGAGAAACGACGGTCAGGCCGACAGACAGGCAGCTCTGCCGGTCAATGTCATCACTGTTTTCTCTCTGTGATTGTCTGCAGTGTACGTCAGCGTTTTGACGACCGAGGCGCCTGTGTGTGTGAGCAGTGCCTTCAAGGACCGCTTCCCCGTCACCACTCAGCTGGCGCGTGTGGCGCTGGGGCGAGTGGGGCCATACGTCTTCGACGGCCAAGTACACGATGACAGCGACGATGATAGCGGTGCGGACAGAGGAGGGAGGGACACACACACATGGTGGCGATGGATGGATGGATGGAATTCTTCTCTGTCTGTCTTTGTGTTTGGTGTAGATTCCGACGGCCATGGCGGCGGTTGGGATGACATGGACGACGACAGCGACGGAGAGGGCAGCGGAGGTACAAAAGGAGGATGGCACACAGCACACCACAGATGGACCCACACCGACCCGCATAACACGTGTGTGTTTGTTTGTTTGTTTGTCTACTTGACAGGGGAGGATGCCTCAGCTGAGGAGGAGATTAGCGCTAACGACGGCAACGCATCGCCATGATAGCACACACACAGACCGATCTCAATACTCACTGGTGCACCACAGACACACTGCAATGTCATCGGCTGGTGCCATGCCTGCCTCCCTCTCTCTCTGTGTGTGTTGTGGTCAGGAGAGTGGCGGAGTGCTGGCTGCCGTCCTCTCTGTCTGTAGCTCGCTGCCGGTGTGGATTCGCCGCTGATGTCGACGCAATGGACCGAATGGCTGTGTGTGTGTGTTGAAGGGCGGGCATGCCTGTGATGAGTGTGGGTGGGTCTGTGGGTCGGTCTCTCCCCTCTGTGTGTGTGGCCCTCCTCCGACTCTCTCTATAAATGTGCCTGAGGGTGTCGATATGTATTGGCCTGACTGCCTGGCTGTGTCTGTGTGTCCGTTGGTGTGGATGGACTGACTGATGATGTGCGTGTCCTTGCCTTTCTCATCTTCCAGCTCGCACTGATTCAGCGCAAGGGACTGACACATTGCGGGGCACTGAGGGACTCAAACATTGTGCAAGGGAATGAGTCTTTCGATCAGTAAGTCAAACATCCATCCCATGCGCACCATAGCACTACACCAGTCATGCTCACGCACAACGAGGCTCTCTACGCAAACAAGAAACACCCACTCAAGAGTGAGTGAGACTCTCAGATCTGCTGCGCGGCCCTGGCCGCCAAATTCTTCTGCACACCGAAGAGGGCACGCACACATCACCCCATCACCCATCCCATACGTTGACCTCCCCCCTCGTGCCTGCCTCTCTCCCTCCCTACCTTGTGCAGTTCTGAGAACTGTTCGTGTTTCTCGAGCTTGTCCTTGCTGGGGAACTTCCGCATACACACATAGCATATCACCTCCGTCACTGCCGGCGCCGCAGACACCACAGCAGGAGGGGGCGCGTCGGCGGCTGCTGCTGGCTGGGCAGGGGCGGCAGCAGCAGCAGCTGGAGCAGGCCTGTCTTGTGCAGGAGGGATGCCCGTGCCGCGACCGATGGCCCCCCGGCCCCTCCCTCTCCCACCACCGCCAGGCAGCCCGCGGCCGAGACCTGACGTGGTGGAAGCTGCGACTGTGAGCTTCAACGGGCCTCCTGAATGGGGCGGTGACGGAAACAGGTCATGGAAATCGGTCATGTGAGTGTGTGTGTCTTACGGGTGTCGCCAGTGGCGGCCGATGATGACGCTGCTGCTGCGGCTCCTGCCGTTGTGTCGCTCCCGTTGCTCTCTGTGGTGTCCTTGCGCTTCTCCTTCTTGGTGTCCTTGCGCACGAGCACATGGGGGGTGGGGGCTGGGGCCGCCTTGGCCGCTGCATTGCAACAAATGGCAAACATAGCTGGATGGATGATGGTGGGCGTGCCGGTCGGCCATCGTTGTCATTGACTGACCTTCCTGTGAGGCTTTGACGGCCTGCTTGGCAGCCTTGAGCATCGACACGATCGCAGACGCCTTCTTCCTGCACACCAGACACACGAGGCGTGTATCCAGCCATGATGAGAGTACCCATCCCTCCGTCCCTCCCTCCGTCCCCCGTCTTTTGTCCCTGTCTCTTGCTTACTCCTTGTTCTCTGCGCGTTTCCGCGCCTCCTCTTCTTCGTCAACTATGGACATCGCCAGAGGGTCGAGGTACGGCACCTCCACTGGTGCTGCTGCCGCCGCCGCTGATGCTGGTGCTGCTGTGGGTACTGGCTCGGCCGTCTTCTCGTCCTGGGCAGTGGCGGAGGTGTCGCCCTCCTCGCCGGTCTTCTCTGTCTGCTTGAGCCGTGCCGCTGCCGCCTCGACAATCAGCTGCTGCGTGTTCTCGCCTGTCATCAGCGGCGCCTGGGGGAAGAGAAGGCAGCACAAGAAGAATGAATGTGTCAGTGGTCGACTTTTGTGTGAGTGTGTGACGCACTCACCAGCTCAGCCTTGTCGGTGTCATAGAAGTAATACTGCCCCTCACTGCACAGAGAGACGGACAAGGAAAAGTATCAAAGCATCAACCGGTTTCCTTTTGTTCTCGGGTGTGCTGTGCTGTGTCCTACGGTGTAAAGTAGAGGCCCGTCTTAGAGTCGAAATACATGCCTGAACAAACAAACCCACAACCAGCTCGCACATCAGAGAAGCTCTGCTAATGGCGAAGACTTCCTCATGCCATGGGCGCGCTGCGTACCGAGGTGAGAGGCGAACCAGAGGCCAGTCTTCTCGTCAAAAGTGGGGGGCGGAGGCTGGTGCTCTGCAGCCATACACACACACACACCGAACCAACCGCCATCAATCCATAAATCAGCCATCTTCCCTCCCTGTTGTGTGTTCGTGTCGCTGACTGACCTGCGGCGTTTTGTTTGTCGTCATTGTTATCGTTTTCCATGGTGATGGTGGCGGCTGCCGATTGCTGGTGTAGCTGGCCTTGCCACATCTTCATGTAGTTTTCCCACATGTCTTTGTTGCAGCTGCGGTCGTACGACTGCGAGAGACCACAGACAGACAGACGACAACAGACAGCCAGAGGGACGGCCGGCATGAGCAAGAGCGATGATGACTGTCATGAGAGAGCCAGTGGAGTGATAGGGGTAACGATCGAGGGGTGGGGTGACAGGGGGGCAGGGCAGGGCAGGGAGGGCAGCCAGGCGGCAACGCAACACGACAACAACACCGCCCCGCCCGCCCGCCCGCCCCCTGCCCGCCCGGCCCCGACACTCTGGTGTTGTACTCACGAAATTCATCGACTGAGCCGCCTCTATGGCTTCCCTATGGTTATAACACCCACACAGAGACACACAAACAAACAACGGATGGATGGAGGGATGCGTCAGGGCGTGGGTGTGAGGTAGGTGTGGGTGAGTCTCGTCTAACGTACTGGCCATAGGTGCGTAGGGGGTTGTCCTGCATCTCCATCTTCATCACCGCAGCCAAACTCTCGTCCTGCACACACAAGACACAACACGACACAACACAACACAACACAACACACGCACCAACATACAGATGCGCCGTACAGGAAGCCCTCCTGTCGCCGTCTCTTTTCTGACCTTGCCGTGCTTGGCATAATGGGCCCGCACAGACTTGTTGCCGACGCGACTACCTGAAACCATCCGACTCGTGCCCATGCCGTCGACCGATCGACCCACCCATGCATCACCTGTGGCGAGGAAAGCGGTCAATGCCGCCTTGGCCTCCTCCCTGCTGTAGAACTCGATGAAACAGAAGCCTGTCAAAAAAGGCGATAGCACCATGACACATGGAAGGAATGGATGTGTGTGCTCGCGCTTTGTCTCTCTCCGCACGTCTCTCACCTCTGCTGACGCCGGTGTTTTTGTCCCTGACGAGCCTGAGGTCCTTGACGGTAGCGAACGGCATAAAGGCAGCCTTGATCTGACAGACACCAGCGGACAGAGACCGAGTGTCAGTCTGGCGCTCAGGTTCTTCCCCTTCTCTCTCTTTCACGTCATCGTCTGTAGAGTTCGGATCGAGGCCCTTGACAATCAACGTCTGACACACACAGAGAGAGAGCCGGCTGATTTCATCCCTTTTCCCTCGGTGAGTGGGTCATGTGTGTGGTGGTGACACACACCAGTGCTGGTTCCTCTGCGAGTGGGTTAGGCGATCCGTGGGCTATGTGGACGCAGTTGGGCATCTTCGGCTCCCCACACTGCTTGCACTCGGTCCGCTTCGTGAAGTTGATGTAGTCGCACTGGCTCACACACAACACACACACACAATACACACACACCGTGATCATAGCTGCATTCATAATATTGCGCCTGATCAATGTGTGGGTGTGTCGCTCGCTGACTTGACGCACTACTCACCTTCGCACAGATCCAGTCCATCTGCTGCTGGCCGTCTTTGCCCGCCCCTCCCTTGTCCCACCACTGCCACTGCCCGTCGCCGCGCCGCCCCTCACGCGCATCCTCTCGCGAGAAATCAACGGGGCAATCGACGCCCTTACCCAGCTCAAACACACCAAACGTCGACTGACACACAGACACAAGACGGCACATGACATGAATGAATGAAAGACCAAATGAGAGAGTTGGTGTCCTGGCTGTCTGTCTGTCTGGTTACCTTGAGGAAGGTACTAGCGTCTTCTACAGTAGCGAATTCGATGAACCCGAATCCCCTCGACTCGCCCGTGCCCTTCTGGCGGGCGATGCGCACTGAGATCGGGGGGGCGAAGTGCTCACGACCACACATCGCACGCACCGCCGTCTCTATCTGAATGACCGAACGGTGCAGAGAGATAGCCCACGTGTGGATCCACTCACACTCTGTGGCGTGGCCACCCTGGTGTGTGCGTGAGATGCGTACCTGCAGCTCCACTACGGTCGGCGGCAGCTTCCGAACCATGATCTGATTGACGACGAGAGGGCAACAATTGTGGCCGAGCACCTCACATCAAGAAAACACGTGCGCCGTGTGTGTGTGTGTATGTGCTGACCGTGGAGGCTGGCGGCACGACCGACGCGAATTCGGTGCTGCCCCGTCCGTCCCCGCCGGCATACCAGTCCTGGAACCCCTCGTCTCCTTTGCCCTGACCCTGCTGTTGCCCCTGCTGCCGCATTACCTTGCTGTCCCACCTGCTGTCACGCTTCCTATCTCCGCCACCGCCCGCACCCCGGTCCCTGCTCCGGCTCCGATGCCGCGAGTGCTGCTTCCCGCGCCCATCACTCCCATACCCGTCATCGCCGTCCTCATCCCGCCTCTGCCACCTCTTCCTCTCCCGGCTGTCGCTCCTGCTGTCCTCCTCCTCCTGCTGGTAGGACGGCGCTGTCAGCCCTGGCGCACTGCCGAAGTCCAGAAAGGGTGTGTGCGCCCCGTTTTGCTGCTGGATATACTGTTGAGCCATGGCCATGGCGCTAGAGGGCGGCCGTGTGGGTGGAGGGGGAGGCTGGAAGGGCGTCTTGGGCGCCGCTGGCATGTATGAGGCTGCGAAGAAACCCTGCGACGACGGCGGGGGCGGTGGGGGCGGAACTTGTGCTGGCTGCTGGCCAGACTGATACATTACTGACTCGTGGCCTGTACGCTTCTCCGCCCCTTTCACGTTCTTCCTGCGAGCTGTAGTAGCTCGCGATGGGGTAGGTGTCGGGAAAATCAGCGGATTACGCCTCGGAAGGGCGCCATGCTGCTCTTCAGTAGATGAGTAATCAGCAAAACAGCGAGATCGACACCGCTATCGACGAGAAAACTGAGGAAGGATTAGTTCGGACTGAGGAGGTGGTTGCTGAGCCCGTCGAGACGACAGATCCATCAACGGACACAACCATGGCAGAGACGGACGCCCTGCTGCGAGTGAACGGCGCCACTGCGGAGGAAACAGATGAGCGAGATCTTGCGGAAGACGGGCCGAGGCGAGATCTGAGTGCTGAAGACGATGCGGCTCATCACAGCATTGCAGTGGCTGTCTTCACGTGCTTCGGCATCGGTCAGCTTGTGTCATGGAACTGCATCCTGTCGGCCCTCCCCTTCTTCGACCTGAACGCCTTTCCCCGACTGCCGTGGGTGTTCGCCAGCTCCCAGAGCTACACCACCTCAAGCCTCATCGGCCAGGTCCTCATGGTGGCCCTGCACGCCAATCCTCCCGCCCCTCCGGCGCCAATCGAGGTCTCGCCCTCGCTGTTCCGGCATGTGGTCAACACGTCCCACCACAAGGTGAAGCTGCTTTGCGCCTCCTTCGGCGAGAGGATCTTGTCGCCTGCCTTTCGGCTGGTCATGTCATTGACTGTCTTGGCCGCGGGGACGGTCGGCTTGGCGCTTGCTGCGGTGTGGGGCTATCAGAGAGTCATTGGCTTCGTGGTGGCCTTGGCCTGCGTGGCCGTCATAGGTGCGCGAGGAAGCAGTGAGTGGCTCAATGCGCCACGCCATGGGTCTGAGGTGGTGTGTGTGTGTGTCGTGTCGTTGTCAGGTTTGGCGAGTGCTGCTGCGCAGGCGACCACGTTTGGGATAGCGGGTCTGCTGCCGGGGTCCTACACAGTGGCGCTCATGTTTGGCCAAGGCATCGCTGGGATGGCCACCTTCATCCTCGCGACTCTGTTCAAGCTGCTGCTGCCGCAGACGGAGGGAGGTAGGACACCGAAATGAGAATACGGCGTACTGACTGATGCAGCGCACTTCTGCTCGTTTGTGTATCTATCTCTTTCTCCAGGCAACATGTTGTCCTTCTTTGTGTTTTTCGCCCTTTGCTCGTCGTGGATTGTCTTCTGCATCTTCGCCTACTTCGTAAGACGCACCAGCCAGCACACACCAAACCAAACGGCCCTCCCATACAGTACATGTGTCTGTCTGGCTTAATTTGGCTCGCCCCAGATGCTGCTGCGACTCCCCTTCTTCGTGCAAGTACTCAATGATCTCAAGGTAAGGTACTCACCCAGAACACCCACGAGGGGACAAAAATCAATCAAAGGGCTCTGCTCTGCTCTGCTCTCCTGTTCTGTGTCAGTCGTCCCAGTCTCCCTTGATAACCGAGACAGCAACTGAGGTCGACCATGAGGATGACGAAATCGACATAGCCGTCATGAACTCCGAGAGTGCCGCCCTGCTGGAAAGCAGCTGCGAGCCGTCGCCCCTCTATCAACGGAAGCGCGAAAGGGTGACGGGGGATGGAGGCATGTTGCCGACAGGGACGACAGAGACCGCCACTCCTTCTCCGTCGCAGGGTGAGGGGCCTGGTGCTGCCTCGGCATGCTCCTCGCCTGACATGATCGGTACAGTACAACACCCCCCTTGCTGAGAGACGTGTGTGCTCATCCTATAAGCATCATCTGTCCGTGTCTTTTTCTTTCTTGAGACCAGATGGGTCGAGACGTGAAGCCACCGATGGGCCGCTTCCCACTGATCTGTCGCCGGGAGTTGATGAAATTCCTCCCTCTGTCCCACCGGATTCCCCTTTCCCAGGAGACACTCCAGAAATCAACGGCAGGAGGGCGGGCAGGAGGGGTAGGTGGAGAAGGGGAACGTCCCCTGCTGTGCCACCCGGCAAGTCGGTCAGGACGGTCCTGGGGGAGAGACGACCCGTCAGGGACATATTCTGGTACGATCCAAGACACACAAGGACGGACGAATCAAGATCGTCACACAATACCTGGTGCGTTTGCTTTTGTGCAGGTCGGCCTTCCCCCAGGCGCTCAACGTGTTCCTCGTGTTTGCCGTCACCTTCACCATATTTCCCTCTGTGTCTGGGACCTGGGAAGTGGGCAGGTCAGAGAGAGAGAGAGACAGGGTGGAAGCACCGCTCATCCTCCCTTCTAGTGTGGGTGGCTTGGCGTGCAGAGGCTCGAGGTTGGCCAACGACTGGTTCAAGCTGATAGTTGTTGGCTTCTTCCAGCTGGGTGACCTGGTTGGCCGCTACATGCCCAACTGGGGGATGAAGGTGCCGCCACACCACCTCAACAAGGGCGTGGCTGCGAGGTTCGTCTTCATCCCCCTTTTTATGGCGTGCCAGCGGCTGGGCGATTCGCTCATCTTCGGCTCGCAGGCCTTCCGCTACCTCGTCATGCTCGCCATGGCTCTCACGTAAGCCAAGCGACACACAGGCCAAGCCGGGGGAGCTAAGCAAGGGTGTGTGGGGGTATTTGGCGCCACGACTGCAGCAATGGGTGGATGGCGTCTCTGTCGATGACGTTTGCACCGCAACAGGTACACTAAGCTTGGTGGCCACATGTGCGAATCGTCATGGTCATGGACATGTGTGTGTGTGTGTGTGTGGTCGCAGGTGTCGAGTGAGGCGGAGAAGGAGGTGGTGGGCTTCATCATGTGCCTCTCACTTATTGGAGGTCGGCCAGACCACAAACACGGACGTTGGGAGACGAGAAATGAATGGCTCGCTGCTGAAATGTGTGTGTGTGCAGGCATCTGCGCTGGTTCGTGGCTGTCGTACGCCACGCAATGGGGCCTGCCTCTCGTCAGTGGGCCATAGTGTGCTGTCGGGTGGATGTGCCTTTGTCCAACTCAACTCTAGTGCACTGCATGCGGACCGGACCGAGCCGATGAACCCACCAGTGCCATCCGTCACTGCCATCCGGCGTACGAAGTATCAGGCGAACGATATTGACAGACCATATGGACACCCATTCCACAGTCACGTCGGGCAGTCCCCTCACACTCATGCACCCGCCCGTCCAAGAAAGCACCCGTCACACCGACAACACAGTGTTGTTGGTCTCCAGGCTCCGCCGCATCTCCTCTATCGACGGCGTCAGCGGCACTGGACTCCCACTCTCACCACTATCGTCATCAGCATCATCGTCAGCAACAGGCTCCGCCACCGGCCCGTTCACCTGCTGATTTCCCATCTGACCCGCCCCAGCCCCACGGGCTGCGGAAGACGGCAGCTGTGCGGGCTGCCCCTCGTCCACTTGAGACGGCTCCTGGCTCTGGCTCAGGTTAAGAAAGTCCGGCGTAATCGCCTTGGCCACATTCACAAGAGCGATCATGGACGAGGAGCATGAAGACGACGACGATTTGCTGGGGTTAGGGGGGTCGTCATTGTCCTGGTCTTGCGAAGGGCGCCGCTGCGACGGCCCTGGCGGCCCACCCTCCTCTCTGTTGGGGATGGACACTGGGACGGGGGGAGGGGCAGGAGGAGGTGGGGGGACGTGGATGGGGTTGGCAGTGGGTGTGGGGGGGTGGGTGAGGGCGGTGTGTGAGG